TGTCTTACTTTATTGTCACTTATGTTACTTGTATATTATTTGTAATTCATACATTCCCAAATATGTAACTGTATATTTTTCAGCTTCTGTTTTTACCAAGCTCTTTCAATAATAGTTAGTGTGTGTGTGTGTATTATATATGTTATAACATGGTTAGGGTTGTGTAGGATGTAGTCTGCGAGTTTATTGTAGTCCTCTCGGAGCTCGGGCATTGGTGACCGAACGATATAATACTCTGTCTCATCAACTTAGAAGTATTATATAAATGGGTTCGTACATTTGATTTATATACTGATTCATCCTGTAACTTTCACTAGCTATGAGTTGTCATGCTCTTATCACGTAATTAGTAGCCTCTTTGGAAGTAGAGAGCCCATCGACAATATGTCGGCATGGGTCGGCTGGGATAAGCGGCTCACGGGCGGTATTCATAATCTCACATCGAAAGGACGTGATTAAACGGTCTATTTACTGTAGCTGCCGTCCTCTCTCTTCACACTCATAAATAGTGGAAGTTACGGTGATTACCTCGAGGAATTATATAAATGATAGTTTTCAATAAAGAAACTGACAATTGGGTTTCCTTCTCTTGCAATATAATATATATCTGGTCCCACTTATACGTGACTAGAATAAAAGCATTCTGTATTTGGAGAAGGCTGAACATAGGATCTGTCAGGAAAATAGGAGTGATTCACTACTGGAATCTGGCAAATGAAAGCGGAGCGAGAGCGGTAGTTAAGGTCCTGCATCGTGTGCTGAGCGCCGCTAAAATTTCTATCTTCACAGAATTTAACATTTCGTGGCCCATAAGAGATAGCCAAGAATCTTCTCAGTGCTGTTTCTTCTCAAACTGATGGTTTCAATCACGATCATACAAGCCAAGGGTATATGGTTATCCCAAGGTTTCGTCCGAAGCGTAGAGGCTGCTGGAGTACGCGCTTGTTCAGAAATGAAGTATGTCAATATAAGTTTTTCATGGAAGTAGAATTTAAAATATGCAAATAAGTGAAATAAGAAGCACTTTCATCTGAAGCTCCCTAAATATGGTTGCCAATATGTTGTCTTTTATGATGATGAAATATGGAAATACTGTGTAGTATATTACAAAATATTTATTAAAGTAGTTTTAAAATTAAGAGCAAATTTAAACAGTTTCTAAAATGATAAAAAAAACAGGTTCATAAAACTATTTTACACACAAAAGTAATGATTGTTCACAGTTTAAAAATGGCTAGGTATTGTTTGTAAAGGTACTTGTGGTCTTGGATGCATGCATGAATTTCATGTAGGGTATATATTGTTTATCTAGGCCCACAATAGAAAATAGACTCTTCAAAATACTATATTACTAGAATCTGAGTACCTTGTGCATTGTGCTCCGTCTGCCTTACCATTTTGGGGCTTGGAAGCGGCATGCGTTCTTTCTGGTTGGCAGAGTGCATTTTGCGGTGTAGGTGCAAGCGTAGGATACTCTGTTTTCGGCATAGACATAACTGTGGCACCTTTTCCACACTTACATTTTAGAGGTAGATCATCAGGAAATAACTCTTGAGATTCATACGCTTTTAGTCGTCAATCTTCCTCACAGAAGCCATAGGATTTACGATCCAAACTTGGTCATGTAAGTTTATTCAGTTGCATATATGTTGTAAAGGAATGTATGTGTCACTCTTGTTGCACGTTGTTGGAAACAAATTTGTAAATAGCAACATGCTGGTAATACTGAACTTGTTTTGGGGATTACTGGCCGCTAAGCGCTTTAGAGCTATTTCGGCCGGAAACTGATGTCTTCTTTTCTTCTTGAGAGTTTCTTCTTCTAATATTGTTCTTCTTTCTTGCCGCATTACTCCATTACTCTGATGGTACAACTAATCCTGATAGTCTTGTTTCTTCTTTTCTTTTCTTATATGGTCTTCTCAGTGCCGAGATTTGGGCCTTGTGAGGCCATGGGCGGCACTCTTTGTAGGCCTCATTATAACTGCGAAGGTGAAGTGGCGAGTGAAGCGAGCCTAAACATCTGGAAGTTCTGAAGGGCGCTGTAAGCCCGAGAAGAAAGTGAACACTTCGGCAGGAGAATTTTGGAAGCCAGCGGTGGAACCAGATGGCGTGAATTCTAAAAAGTAAAAATAAAAATAATCAACTGAATCGCTCATCTCGTAAAATGTTGTATTGTGGCAGGAGGCTGGTGGCTGCCCGCTGCCACGCTCCTGAATCCCGGCCTGGAGTCTTCTTGTTCTTGAAATACTCTGGTAGTCTTCTTTCCTCTTGGTATTTGATTTTGGATGAATTGTGGAGTGTGACTGGAAGGTGTGTGATGGTGGGTTGCGGTAGTCCGGGTGAAATGGCCAGTCAGGTGACAAGTTTCTCTGTGATTTGATATTTTTTGTATACGTGTCTTTTTGTTTGTATATGTGTTGGTAGGTGTCAGTTTTAGTATATGTGCGTGTTGTATATGACAAAAGGTTTGTATTATGTCTCTCGTGTTGTATGTTTTCTTATCTTGTTTACTGCTTTTGTTATTCATTTTATTTTCTTGTAGAGACGTGGTTGCATGCATATAAAAGCCGATGATGCGTGTATCTTTCTGTATGCCGATAAGACAGGTGCTCGCTTGAGAAGGTATTACAGCGTCACTTATGGTGACATCGGCATCTTACAAATTGAGTACAGTCAGCCGCAAGCCTCGTTTGATCGCTAACGCACCTCAGCCGCCGGCGTTCTGGATTCATACTGGCTGCACTCTGTCAGGAAATAATGTCGAATAGACATGAGATTTTTGTTGCGCATGGCGCAGGTAGGAGAAAAAGTTATCTATGTAAGAGTTTTAGAGTGAGTCCGAATAAATTACAGGTGACCTTAGTCTGCTTGAGAACCGCTATTATCCTATTCTTTTCTGTATACTTTTGAAGCCAGTTTCCTATATTAGTCTTCAATTTATTTGTGAAAAGATCTGACATAGATCATTCATTGTTGCCACCACCCATTTGTGTATGTCTTCCCAAGAGAGAACACGACCCCAACGCTCCCAAAGTACGTGGTTGTCTCCTAGAACCCACAGTCGCTTTGCTAGTTTGTCTGCCTGTTCATTGCCCCGAATGTTTTGATGTCGAGCATATTTCAGCGTAATATTCGTGGCGCACTCATGTAGTTTATAAATAATGTTGCCGCAATAGCATAAATTTGCTGAGTAGTGTCACCACCATGAATTGCTTTGAAACTGACATAAGTCTGAAAATAACCTTAACATCGTGGCATCGCTTGTTATTGCAATATCAGTAACCATATTAAACTTTATCTCTGCAGTGAATATGGTTGTATGCCGCGGCGAGGCGAGCTCCCTCCCCTTCTCTCTGCTCGAATACCGGCAACGTTGTCGTCAGTTCTGGACGTCGATTGTACGTGAGTATGAGCGCTGTCGCTACAGAAAATTGATAGAAAGTTGTTTAAGAGGCTCGGGGATGTAGGTCATTCTTCCCCAGAGCCACGATGTTTCCACATGAAAGTTGGGGGTTTGCTCCCATGGCGGACACAACGATGGAAACAGCTCTATCAACGTCTTCAGAAATGAATACCAGCACCTGGCGCAGGCCGGATTCAGGAGGTGGGCAAAGTGGGCAGCTGCCGGGGCATCTCCACAATCCTGGGGGCCTCCTTATTACAATCTGGCCCCCATTTATTTGTTTATTCATTTGGATTATATTTATTTTCATTCTTTAAAGTGTATTTGTCTATTCCATCATAGTTTCAAGATTTAACCGAAGTGTTCAGGTTTCAAAATTTTCCCGGGGAACTACAGCACCAGAACTCAACCCAAACTGAAAACTTCACTCGCCACCCCCACCCTCTTAAGGTAGTTATAATGAGGGGCCTCCCACAAAAGGCGCCCAGCGGGCGCTCACAGATTAAATCCCAGCACTGACCTGGCGCAAGGTCTGGAGGCGGATGGCCGAGAATGGGGTCTGCAGTTACAGGTAACGAGGTGCTTGACAGCGCAGCCTGGGTAGCCGCAATGTCGCGCCTCTAGCACTTTATTCAGCCCATACCTTAGCGTCAACATATCCCTCCTGGTATTTGAGTGAGGCACATGAACCTCCACCTCTGCATGTAGCATCTTAATTCATCCATGCTACTGAACTCATTGCCAAGTTTCAATAACTGGACAAGGTGATTCTTTTTCTTGTCAATGTATATGCCATCTGGGTCCTCTCCAAACTCTTGGGCCTATCATTTTGACTGCAGCTGCCTTTGGACCAAATTTACTTGTGGAGTCACTTCCTGTTGGGCTTTGCCAAGTTTTACCTAAAATATATCCCATATTTGTTGCAATAGTATGAACAGGAATGTATCTTGTTGTGTTCCCAAGTCACTTGTATGATATGAACTGCAAAATAGTACCTTAAACTGTGTATTATTATATTACTCTTATATTACTCTATTGAGGTATGTATAGTAAGTATTACAGAACATGTATTAATTCTATGTAATATTCCCATTTTATTATGCACCATGTTGTATATAAATTATCATATTTATACTTTATGTATTCAGCTTGTGAATGCTGGCATCTGTACATGCGGCGCTCGGTAATACATAGATAGAGTGAGGCTGCCAGTCCTTGTGGTGCGGGAAGCAGCTTCTTAGTCACTGTATATATATCTCCCGTGCGAGAATAGAAACCTACTTTTAAGATAACAAGAGTGTTTTATATATGCGTACCGATGGTATAGAACATTTTGGAGGTATCAAGTCGAACGACTTATTTTATCGCTATATATCTATTTAACGAAAATCGATGTGCATTTAGAAGTAATGGAAATGCCACCGAGAGCATCTGTCATTTTGGCGGCACGTAGAAAACTCTTTCTGTCCCTGTTATTTATTGAAGCAATGCGCGTAATGGGAATCAAGTGCAGAGTCTGCTTCTCAGTAATATATGGAAGCTCTGGAAGTGTCTGGAATGCTTTCATTTCTAATCAGCTGACAAGGATTCTATATATCGTTTCACCTGAAAATGCCTGTCACTGATAATATCTGCATTTAAGCTGGCATCAACACACTGGATTGTGTATTGCCTTAGAAGTTTCAAGCTTAATTTTGTTGTTGCTGGGTAAGAAGCCTATAAATAAGCCATTAGCACTAGAAATGAATGTGTCTAATTGCAATATATTGATCTCGGTGGTTTGCAAATGAACCGTTGGACTATCACTATCTATTGCGAGACGGATAGATTCTTTGAGAATTTAGTCACATTGTATGCCGTAACGGCCGGTGGAAGATTGGTTCGGGCTGGAGGCCGCGATACGGTTCAGATAGTCTGCGTTTGTTGCGTGTGCTGTCAAGTTCATGAACAAACTCACTTTCTTCTGGCTTTTTCATGAAGCCAAATGAATCAATCAAAAAATGGCGAAAGTAACGAGCATTGATATTGACAGCTATTTCACAAAAAATGTTTTCGTAAATCTGCGTACATTTAGCAATATTTAGAGATCGCGCCGTCAAAAACCTATGTTTTAACACACACACAAAGCGTGTTCCTATGATGAAATACAAGTGGAGATATGGATAATAACATATAGGGCAATGTCCTGGCGACCATCTTGAATTTCTCTCTTATTGCCGGTTGCCCCCCCCCTTTAATCCGGCACGATATACAGGTATATGCGTATATGTGTGTGTGTGTGTGTGTGTGTGTGTTATAACGTAGAGGAAAAAAGGAGGTTACTCAGCTTTTGCATATGCTGATAATACAGTGGAGAATCAGTTGTCCAATTAGATATTTAGTAGACATATAAATATAACAAAGTAAGAGTAAAATATATAAAGAGTGTACTAGAAAATGGCAGAGTGGAAGTAAGTAAGTGTGAAGTCAGGTGAGGAGGCAGGTGGGTAGGAAAGTAGTCAGGTGGGCAAGTAGGATGGTAGTCGGGTGGGTAGGCAGGTGGGTAGGAAGTGGGTGAATGAAGAATCAGAGTGGGTAGATAAAGGTAGTCAGGTAGAAAATGATCAGGTAGGTAAGGATTGGAACGTAGGCAGGTGGAGTAGATAAGAGGATGGAAGTGGAAATAAGAAATGAGAATCAGGAGTAGGAAAGTAGTCAGGTGCAGGTAGGATGGTTTGAAAGGATATTCAGGTGGGTAAGTGGGATGGATTGGGAAATTATGGATAGGAAGGAAGGTGGAGTGAGTAAGAGAGTAAGATGGAAGTAAGGTGGAGAAACTGGCCTTTAGCTGATTTTCAGTCGGAATACTGACTTGTTTTGTCCTTCAGGTGTAAATGATGGCCTTGTATAAACAACTGAGTGCTCACAACAGATCATCAAGAATGTGGGCATAGTATTATTGCACGTAAGTAAAACATCTTTGTTTGTTTCTATGATGCAGAAAAAATCTGCCCTTAAACTAGTGCTGAAATTAACTTTATGTGTGTTATTTTTACCATATAATGGGCAAAGATAAATGTAAATTACTCACAGCAGTAACTTTCTGGTAGTAAGTGAAGGGCGCGGTGTCTGTGTGTGTAATGATCAGCAACATGCATAAACAGTAGTGATCAGGTTCGATTCCGGAGCGGGGTGAGCTATGAGCGAGATTTTCTTTAGGCTGTACCTCTGTCTATACCCAGCAATAGTAGGATCTGGATGTTAATCGATTTGCAGATCTTGTTCAGTGTAATAGTTAGCCAGTGCAGTGTAGCAACTTGATGGGTCTTCTGGGACTATTCCTTGACACTGAGTCATGCAACTCGTTAATAGCAGGAATTGTGGTTGTTGTGTTGGTCGACGAAGCTGCGTAAAGAGATTTCGCCTGGTGACCGCCGGGCGAACCATTATTGTAATGATATTAATAAAATCAATGGGTTTATAATCATCTGGCTATATACGATTAAAATATACAAAGAGAACATAAATAGTACCTTAACATATACTAATATAATAGAAAACAGGGGAGAGAAGTAATTAATAATAAATTTCATCACATTACAGTACTCTAAAAAGTAAAATAGATAAGAAATGAAACACCTGGAGATTAACAAATTGGTGATAAATTTTACAGTAGGTTGAATTAAGAGCGCTGATTATAGTAAACCAATACTGTCGCTCATATAGACCTAGATGGCAGTGCAGCGGATAGCCAAAGGCCGATGCGTGCATTTGTGTGATGAGAAGCACGGCTTGGTAGAGCCCGCCGGGGCGAAATTTGAACCCTGGGCATCTCAAATTTTGCCAGAAATATGGCGGCCATTTTCTGAATGGCGGCCACCGAAATTTGTTTGTCAGTCTCTCAGTAACAAACACGTAGGCTTGGGGTACGAGCCAATAACGCACATAGGTTTTATGGGTTGCTGGATGTAATTTTTCCATTTTTTAAGTGATTCGGTGTTCAGAACCGCCATTTTTAAAGATGGAGGCCATAAAAACAGTACATGACCTGTTCTGCTGTGTGGCCTTAGGAGTCACCGATTTACGGCTTTTTTACTATCTGTAGTTTACGAAGTTCCCAACCACATTTTACTTTTTCGAACTATCCCTACGGCTAGGCAAAAGCTTGCAATGTGCAAACCCAGTTCTGGAAGTAGTGAACTGCTTCACCGAATTTCAGTTAGAATTGATTGTAAAGTGTTTCCTCACCAGCGGTCGAAACTCGCCCAGCTTCGTTGTCACGAAGTAACACCAGGCAAAGAATCCAGCTCGAAATATTGAGCGAGAACATATGTCGCCAGAATCTGTGGCGTTTGACTTTTGTTGTAGTCTGCTGAGAATATCTAAAACTCTCCAAATTAAAGTAACCAGTACTAAAAGCACTTCGGCTTTCAAAGTACCAGAAACATAGATTTCCGTGCTCATTGTAGGTGAAGTATTACCAAAGAACAATGCTACAGCGAGCATCTCATAAGAAATGAAAATCAGTGAAATGTTTTCAGCAAATAAACATGCTCACAAAGCTCCGAACACTGTATTGCTTCTTTTGCTGATAAGCCAAGCTCTCCGGGTAAAATGGAGAGCTGCGCAAGCTGCGAGGATGGTGGCTTGGCTGACTTCCTGTTGAACTCAGCTAAATGTCGTAAGCAATCAAACCTCTTCTCCGGAATTTCCATCGATCAGGTTCGCGAAGCAGAGCAAATGCGGATTGTCAGAAAGAATGGTAGAGCAGTTGGCCTGACTGAATAACCTGCAGCACTTCGGTGAGGTGGATGGTGGCAAACACAGAATGGCGCGACTCGCAGTAAGAGTTCGAAACGTCGTAACAGCCAGCACACTGTCGACAGTAGTCATCATCACCACGAAGCAAACTGACTTATTGTCGGTCAGCGTTCGGCGAAGGACATTGTTGAGATGCGCACGAAGGCGAAGCAACGAGAAGCGGGGAATCCCGTACGCAGTGAAGAAGGACCGAACGTAGCGGTGCCGGACACCGCGAAGCAGGCTGATGGTCCACGTCGCTGTTGCAGCAAAATGTGGTCACAAAAGCTTCATAGTCTGTACAGTGACGTTCTTGTGCTGGCTGTGGCAACCATCACTCTTTTGGCATGAACACTTGACAGTCTGCTGGTCTCCTTCGTAACGAACCAATAACTTCATGTACATTTCAGCTCACCAGAAATCGCGCGACCCATAGTCACAGAAATGGATACCATCGAAAAGTTCACTTTGCTAGGTATATTGCAATAGAAATAAGCGGGTAGTGACGTGAGCGGTGCCGCGAAAGCGCTGTTCACCCAAAGCCATTAAGATCAACCACTTCCACAACGCTAGGCAACGCTCACGCCGCGGCACTCAAGACGTGCCGTCATCGAATTGGGCGCGTCACGGGCGCCATCCGCAAATCCGATCAACGCTGTGCCTGACATGCCCTCTCCGAAGGTTGAGGATGAGAAAATGTGATCGACGAAATTAGCAGCATTTCTGGAACCGGCCGCAGCTTCAAACATCCAAAGAATGTGCAGAAAGAACTCTCCAGAAGTGGATCGCAAAAGGTGCCAAAGTACCACTTACTGCAAGTGCATGAAATAACCTGTCGTGCGCGGGTTGTGCAGGAGTGTGAGTGAAACGAATTGATGCGTAGCTGGAATTTTGCAGCCCGGAAATACGTAAAAATAATGTATTGTCTGTAATCATGCAATAAAAGGAATAAGAATGCATGTATAGTGTTTTATAGCCTCCATCTTTAAAATAGAGTTTTTGAGACACCCGGAATACTTTTAAGTACGAAATCGAAATTTCCTGCCACTCAAAGAAACCTCTGTGTACATGCCAGAAATTTAAGCCATATGTTCTCTGGTTACTAGTACTAATATAAGCGAATTTCGGTGTACTTAAATGGCAGGAAAATAAAGCATACGCTTGGGATTCTGAGCAAAATGCAAAGGGTAATGCAGAGTTGAATTTTTCCTTTGGTAGAGTTCTATAGGTATTGCCAGAAAGCTTCGTGCTTTATCACAAAATGCACGGTGGTCTCACTGAACCAGTTATCTGCTTAATACTAATGCTGGTGCGTAATTGTCTCTGCCGAATTACTGAAGAGGATCTCGAGTAGGAAACAGAAGATAGTGAGATGGTGCAGTAGCTTCTCCTGCAAACTTGCAGTCATCTGTGTGTGTGTGTGTGTGCGCTCGTGCGTGCGCATTGTGTGCATGCGATGCGTGCGTGCGTGTGTGTCGCGCAGGACACAACGTTTCTCTCCTGTAATATGTACTGACAATGTAACCAAAATATTTACTAGCCTATAACTCGCTCCTTGGCTTGCACGGCAAGCTGCTTGGAATGACGGGCAAAACTATCGAATACTTGTTCATTTCGCTTCCTCAGTAGCCTTTTGGGTGGCTGTGTGGAAAGTAGCAGGCAAACTGTAGTCTGCAACAGGCGCTTTGGCTGGGCCATTTGTTAGAACTGTCTGCGGTGTACACCCGTACTTGTAGTGGCCGTAGTCGGTTTGCAGGAAATATGCCGGGCTGAAATATCATCTTGCGATTCGTTATTGGAGCAGTAAAATTTCTGTGAGTACTCACTTGCCCGATGACCACTGCGATGGGGCTTATATTTTGAAACCAAAAATAAGTAGATGCATATAAGTATAAATCTGCAAAGAATATATTTTTTATAGAGATATCACTCCATATCGAACTTAACACATAGAAAAATTTTATTGTTCTTTTTAAAAAATTCCATATTTTGTGAAGAACATCACTTAAAACCTCTGCTTGCCTCATCGCCGCTTATATCTCCCAAATTACTCTAACCATCATTAAAAGTAAACCTTTAAAGATAATAATCCAAATAATTTAATAATGATAGCCAAAATGTGTAAATCAAATTAAGCTAAAAATCGTAAGTGGTCTGTTGAAAGTGGTGAAAAAAGCCATAAAGGATGTTGAATGACGTCATATCAGATATAATATCCACCCCAATTTTCAATACGTGAGCACGGTGTGGCAAATTAAACTACCAAAATAGTATTACACATTAGTATAAATATGCTTGGTTTTAGTATGCCGGGGTGGCGGTGCCGGAGTAGTTTCTAGGCATTGTTTCATTTGTGTATCAATTTAATACAATTTGTAACTAATAAGATAAATTCAGTGACATAAATTCATATATATATAATTTTTAATTCCGTTGAAATGACTACCTGACAACTTTTGTACAACTTGTCCCAAAATTAGTAATATTCCGGAGTTTTACTTAGGTGACGGTGGTAGAATCCGGAAGTCTGGAGTCTGTAACGCATGTCCATGATTCCAGCAAAATGAATGATATTTCAAATAAATAAAACTGAAGTCTTATTATCTTTTCGGTCATCCAGGCAATTTTAGGATTTTAAGTTGACCAATGTTTTCAGATTGGGATTAAATTATTGGAATTAGGTGCTTTGTTTGGTGTGAGATATTGAAATTTTAAAGAGGCTTCGTCTTTTATTTCTCCAAAGGGATCAAAGGTGCTGGGAATACTTGAAATCTGCATTGAAACGGTAAAGTACACGAGTGTGTGTTACATATCAAACAAGCTCATCATAAGGAATTTTACTCTGGAAGTTCGCCCTCATAATTGCTCAGTCCACATAGGTTGGGCCATTTCTGGTACTTGCTCCCTAGGCTTATATATTTTTACTTAGTACGTAGAGGCTGATGGACAAGCGGAAATACAAAATGCAGATTAAAGTTTATTGGGTTTTAGTAGTGAAACCCAAATATTCCATTTCTTCATTTATTCAAAAAAGATTTATCTACTCTTTCAAAAGGATATCACTGCAATAGTCACTGTAGCTGTGAGTGCTGTATTAAGCCTGACAGAACTATCAAGGATAGGCTCTAAGGACGTCCAACTAGCGTGAGAAATGAGTAGAAACTGCTGCTGGGTCCAGCCCAAGATAGCTGACCTAGGATATTCTGGGGACACGCCTTGTGCGTGGAACTTTACCCATCACGTGCACTAAACATGCTACCTCACAGCTACGGAAGATTACAGGGGGTGCTAGTTATATAGCACAAATATATTAACCCATATTTATATAAGTACTTCTGCCTATGAGACGGGGGCTAATACATAGGCATTTTATAAAAATATGTGAGTCAATAGGACAAATATTAATAACACTGATAATATTACAATATATACACGGGAACAGTATCAAAAACGGAATGCCGTCCAGCTAGAAGACTGTTTGAGAGCTTTATGGGTTCGAATACCATGACACCCATATTCATACTTACGGTTGACTGTATTTTGGTGATCTGTCGGTGTACTATCTGCAAGTCTGTCGAAGTAATCTGATGGAATGTCGATTTACAATGAGATGGTGTCATAGGTTATGATGCAGTGGTGTAATGCAAAATAATGTCTATATAGTATGAATTTCCGTGGGAGTAAAGTACAAAAAGGGGGTACTACTCCCTACAACACCGCAGCATTACCAGATCAGTCATAAATTCATACCTGTAAATTCGCAAGCAAGTTTCCAAAATTATTTTCTATTTGTTCGGAATAATTTAGATATTTCATTTTACCATTGCCGTAACCCATGCCAAATAATTTATTTAATTGGGAATATATCTGCAGTAAGTTATAATGTACTGAGCGTTGCTAATTGTCAAACAAAAACCTTATCCAAATGTCTCATTCGTGTCATAAATGATTTTTTTTCAGACGAACGAAACATAACTATTCACCATATAACCTCTTGGTTTTATTTCACATTCTCGAAGAACACTAGACTCAGGGTGCTTGATAGTAGTGCACAGTAATGTCATTAACAGTGTCATCTGTACAGTTTGGGCTATGGTTTTGAAGAGAAACAGCTGAAATTTGGCATGGAGAAGCGCATCCACCCCAGAAATGAGAAGTGTTCAGAAGATGGACCCCCCCCTCTCATTAAAAGCAAGTCTAAGTTGGGGGATGGAGGATAGTGTAGTGGGTGTGGTGGTATAGTGTACAACTGTAGATGATAGTGTAGCGGATGTAATAAAATGTAGTAACAGGAAACTGGGAGCATAATTAGGAAAACTTTTATTCAGTAATAGACTGACTCGGATGATGGTGGTGATGTATATTGCAGGGGCGTTCCTAGAGTATTTGGCACCCGGGGCGGACCTATCCACTGGCACCCCCTTCCTTCCAGAGATGAATAAATATACAGTAAAAATAAAATGCACAATCGTCCCTAGAGTACTGGGCACCCAGGGGAGGGCATTCATTTGCTCCCTTACTGAATTACTGAATTACCCTGTAATTCAATTGACAGTAGGAACATTATAGAATCCAGTCTCATTAAACATACCGAATCCGTCAACATGAATTTGAGTAATGGTATGTACAAACTGGATAATTTCGTAATTAAGAAGATTTGTAACCAGGTGAGAAGGTTGGGTCATCTTACCCTCTGACCTGACTACCGACTGCTGCGGTGCTTTTTGAAGATTAGTAGGGTCATTACCTAATACCTGACCATTGTGGACTTGATCTCACCCCCTCTGTATATATATACCTTGTTATGTACTTCTCCTTAGTCTGTACTCACCCCTGAAGATGTGAATTACACGAAAGCGCTTGGGAACTTCGTGTTTTCTTCTTTCCTTGTGGTTATCAGCATATACCTGGATCACGCACCCACAGTACAGTGCATATATATATATATATATATATATATATATATATATATATATATATATATATATATATATATATATATATATATATATATATATATATATATTAGTTTTACAGCCTCATCGCGACTTAGCTTCAGCAAACTTACCAATTATTTCATCAAAATTAACTGTCTTGGCACATTCATTTTCGATAGAAATCATAGCTAAGCTGTTCAATCTTGCCTGAGTCATGCTAGAACGAAGATAATTCATGATAAGTTTCAGTTTAGAGAAGCTTCTTTCACATGATGCAACAGACACACATATTGTTAAAAAGAATCTCAGGCACAATGACAAGTTAGGCAAGGTTTCACAAAAGTCCCATTTGACAATAAACTTCAGGAGCTGCAAGACTGTCCATTTATTGGCTTCTTCAGGTGTGATTTTGGCAGCCTCCATGTGTCTGCGATGTCGCATTATTTCTACCATGACATCCTCATCAGAAATTTCATTAAAAATCTTGGTCATGCTTGAATTTGAAATACTCCCCTGAAGTTGTTTTTCTTTTGCAGAAAGCAAGTAGCTTGGCTGAATAGCTGCAAATATTGACAGGACGTTATCCATGGCCTCTGAACGAACATCCAATTCTAGACTAAATCGATCTAAGCATTCAAACATTGATCACCTCATTTCCTCTTGCATTGTCAGTCCAGCATCCCTAGCCATCTCTCCTGGCATCATTTTCTTACGTCTTATCCTCCCTCTTGTTTCCATGGAGATGCCCATTTCTTCACATTGTGTAGTTGCATATTGAATCGCTCTCTCCACAATTTCATTCCGGTGACCTCGAAGAAACAATTTCAAACCATTGAGCTTTACAGTGCACTTTTCAAGACTTATTCCTTCTGTTTGCAATTACTTCTGTGTGGGATTCACTTCTTCCAGTACATCACACCAAAAAGAAAGATAACACAAAAAATAAAAATCACATGCAGCTTTAAGCAAAACTTCAGCTGATCCTCTTGTGTCAACATTTTCTCTTTGATCCGTCAATGTTTCCAGAGCTATGATCAGCTTCTCAAATTGTTTCTTGAGAGGCTTTACGGCATCATGATGTGCACTCCATCTAGTCTGAGAAACTCTATTGACTGTCAGGTTCATATTTTCTTTCAGTACTTCCCATCGGTGAGTTGAAAGTGAAAAAAACAAAACAATAAAGTTTCTCAACAGTTCCAAAGAATGTTACACATAAAGGATTGGTTCCAAAAGAGTGTACCCCACAAAAGTTCAAGGAATGATTGAGACAAGGCACAAACAAAACCTTTGGATTTATTTCTTTGATTTTCTTCTGAACACCTCCATGAATACCAGCCATAGTTGCAGCATTATCATATCCTTGACTGCGGCAAAACTTAATGTCCAGTCCATCACTCTCCAGATTACTCAGGATATCCTTTGTGAGCTGATTTGCAGTTTTTCCAGCAATAGGAAAGAAACCCAAGAAAGATTCCCTTACTTCAACAGAATCACCTTCAATATGAACATATCTAATCACTTCGGACATCTGATCTGTATGAGAAATATCAGGTGTACTGTCAAAAAGAATTCCAAAATACTTGGCCTTCTTGATGTCAGCCCAAATGTTTTCCTTAACATTAATTCCTAGAAGACAGATGAATTCACTCTGAATATTTGGTGACAAATAAGAGCTCGCTCTCCTTCCAGATGTCTGAGATGGAATAGCATGCTTACCCTCCAAAAGATGTTCTTTCAAAACAGGATCATAGTTTGATACTAAGTCCACCAGTTGCAGGAAATTGCCTTTGTTTATTTGAAAATGAGATGGATGAAGGGGTAATTAAATTAAATGACGAAATTTTCGCACTTATAACTCGTAAGTTGTACTTAGATTTAAAAAAAAAAAAAAGGCTCCAGAGGACAAATATTTATTTATTTATGAGCCTCATGGCACCCCCTTCTGGTTGTCACCCGTGGCGGACCGCCCCCCCCCCCCTTCTTAGTATATGTATATGTAGCAGTCAGTCATATATGGATATATTTACATATTATAGTTAACATTAAGTCATGTGTGACAATGTGAGAGGTGTTTACCTTGGATAATGTACCGGCAGGTTGTGTGATACACAGGAGAGCCATGTTATTTCTACTGTTTGTGCTGCTGCTCGTCCTAATGACCAACACCTTCCTCCTCAATCTTCTACCTTCGCCTTTCACTCTTCTTGTCATTTGGTGGCATGACCCTCTCTGCGGTGGCGTAAGTATGGGGTGATTATGTGCGGCTGAGAAGTGCCTATTTATTTAGTACTATATGCATTCTGTGGGATGGGTATGTATACTGAGTGTGTGTGGGGGGTTGCGTGTGTTTATACGTGTGTGTGTGTGTGTCTAATAATAATAATAATAATAATAATTAACGGTTTATTGAAAGAGCATTGCAGCCAGAAGCCTGAAAATATACAGTTACATAATTGGGGAATGGGTTTCGATTTACAAATAATATACAAGTAACATAAGTGATACGAAAAAGATATATAATAACTAGATGGGGAAAAGCTCAAACTACAGGGCATTTCAACATAGTGACAGTGCAAGAAGTATTATTTACTGGGAGTGAATACACTGGTTTATTACAAGTTATTGATAATTTTTACAATGGTTGGGACTGGGCTGTTCTTATAGCGATCAGTTCGTGCACGTATGGGCTGGATGCGGTTGTGGTGTCGAACAGCAATTCTCGGGCTAGGGATCTCAGGTGGTAGTAGGAGCCGTTGTCGAGGATGGTGCAGAAGCTTCTTACCAAATTGGCAGATGAGGTCGTGGTGATGGTCAGTGAGAGTCGAAAGGGTCAGTGTGTTGAGCGCTTCTTGATATGTGGAGTAGGAAGGGGAGAGAATAATCAGGCATGCCCTCTTTTGCACTTTTTCTAGGTGTTTACGTTGTGTGGCATTCAGGGAGGAAGACCAGGTAGGGGAGGCATAGGTGAGCTTGGGAAGTATGAATGTTGAGTAAACACCGAGGAGCTAGGGTGCAAGAACTCCGAGGGACTTGAATCGGCGGAGGAGGTGGAGACGGAAACTGGAGGATTTGACAACTTCACTGATGTGTGTTTTCCAATTTAGTTTGTTGTCTATGGTGACGCCGAGGAGCTTATTGGAATCTGCAACCTGGAGTGTGTTGGGACCTAAACTAATGGAAGGGGGTGGGACAATGTCGGAGGAGAGGTTGATGTGCATAACCATGGTCTTGGTATGGTTGATGGTGACGTGGTTGTTGGTGGCCCAGTTTTGAAGACTGTTCAATTAATCCTGAAGGGCGGTATAGTCGGGAGCAGAATTGTTGACGCTGATCCCAATGGTGGAGTCGTCGACATCATTGATAAGCATAAGGAAGCAGAGTGGTCCCATCTTGGTGCCTTCGGGGACACCACAGGTGAGTGACTGAAAGGTGGAGACTGCCCCTCAGAAGCGTACAGCTTGGCGTCGGTCACTGAGGAAGTCTGTAAGACCATGGTATAATACTTCTCCGAAGCCCGAGGTCAATAGCTTTGTTGATGATTAAATTGTGGTTGACTAGGTCGAATGCTTTAGTGAAATCAATGAAGGCGACAGCTACAGACGTTTTTCGTTTCTCGAGATGGCGGTATATGTAATCGAGAATGCTGACAAGACAGTGAGTGGTGGAGGAAGTTTTCATATTGCCAAATTGCTGAGGGTCTACGACTCCTGCAATATCAGCATAAGCCCAGTCTAACACACACACATGTGCGCATGTGTGTGTATGCATATACATATATATATATATATATATATATATATATATATATATATATATATATATATATATATATATATATATATATATATGCTGATAACCACAAGGAAAGAAGAAAACACGAAGTTCCCAAGCAATTCACATCTCAGTGAGTACAGACTAGAGAGAGAAGTAATACAAATCAATATATATATATATATATATATATATATATTAATATATATATATATATATATATATATATATATATATATATATATATATATATATATATATATATATATATATATATATATATATATATATATATATATATATATATATATATATATATATATATATATATATATATATATATATATATATATATATATATATATATATATATATATATATATATATATATATATATATATATATATATATATATATATATCTAGATGCAAGTAAATCACTGTAGGTGAGCGTGATCCAAGTATATGTTGATAACCACAAGGAAACAAGAAAACACGAAGTTTCCAACAGTGCCGGATTTAGACCTGTGGAGGCCCATGGGTAGCCTCTTTGTGGAGGCCCCGCTCATTATAACTACCCAAGAGGGTGTGGCGAGTGAAGCGAGCCTAAACAGATACTACAGGACCCAACCCCCTCCGACCGACTTTTAACAAACACAGTGCCCTGATGGCATTCGTAATGGAAGTGATAATGAAAAATTTATTTTATTAGTTTTTTTTTTTATTTCAATTTCGTTATTCCATGTAGTTCATTTTTAATGAATATATGTTTGTGGAATTCTAAATATATTATTAGCAACACAAACAATAGCATTCATTAAAAATATAAGGTTCATAGGAAAACCAGGTATTCATGAATTTCAAGGAGTAGCTAGCCTAATTTCTATCACGCTTCTTGCTGACCATAGTTTTACGTGATGGAATAGATAAACGTGAATTTTATAAAATGAAAATAAAAATAATCCATATGAATAAACAAATAAATAAAATATTGTAATATGTGGAGGCCCCCAGATTGTGGAGGCCCCTGGGCAGCTGCCCACTTTGCCCACTCCTGAATCCGGCCCTGGTTCCCAAGCGCTTTCGTGTATATCACATTTTCAGGGGTGAGTACAGACTAAGGAGAAATGTAAATTACACGCAAGCGCTTGGAACTTTGTGTTTTCTTGTTTCCTTGTGGTTATCAGCATATATACAGGTATATATATATATATATATATATATATATATATATATATATATATATATATATATATATATATATATATATATATATATATATAAAAGTGTGTGTGTGTGTGTGTGCTCAAGAAGCTTCCACTTAATAGGTAATTAAATACTTATATGTATAAGGATGAAATGTTGAATGATGGATAATAAGAAGTTATTTTTTATTTCGTTTCCACGTTTCAAAATATCATAATTTTCTGTTAAAGGTCCCACAGTCAGCCCACAACGCACTGGACTTCAGGTCCGCTGACTCTCAGCCTCAGTTCTTAATCGAGGAGCCAGACTTCTGCCGAAAGCGTCCTAACCTGTCCATTGTGGCGTACGTCCACTCCTCCATTAGTTCCGTGATGAAGAGAATGGAAACCCGAACTACGTGGGCGTCTGCGGGTGTTCATGACGAGGGTGTGAAGATGGGCGTTGTGTTTATGGTGGGTCAAGTGAAAAACAGTTTAGAAAGCAAAATAATCAGAGACGAGAGCAGACGATTCGGCGACATCGTACAGGTGGGTAAGGTATTTAGCTGCGTCTGTATGGTAGTTGAATTGTCTGTCTGTAAATAAAGTAAGCAGATGACCTGAGAAGTAATTACTTAATTCCCTGGTTCTTCATCATAGGTTCCACACATACTTAGGGCATGAGGTCAAACGTCAAAATCACAAATACATTAACGTTTAATATCACAGAATTATGTAGGTTTACACTCTGTAGACTGTATCTCTACTGAACGCCCACTAATTTTATTAGAATACTTTTTATGCAGTTAGTTTATGGGATCATCGTCAAATTGTGAAATAAAGCAAGTAGATGATTAATTCATTCCTTGGCTAAGGAGACAGCTCTATAGTCCACACGATAATTATTTCCCCAGTTTTCTAAGCTCTGATCATGTGGTAACAATCACCTAAAACGCTCTTATAATGTGTTTTCTTTTTTGTTCAGGGAAACTACACGGACACATACCACCTGCTGAGCCACAAGGCGTTAGCGTCGCTACAGTGGGTGTTGAAACACTGTCCACACGTCCCCTGGACTCTCCACGCCACCACAGACAGTTTCATCTGTTACAACTGGAAAAACGCAATAGTCAGACGGGATGGTCGATGGTGCGTGCGGCCTGAGGAATTTCCCGATCTCAACTACCCTTCCTACTGTGCTGGAGGGGCGTGGGTTATTGCTACACATCTTGGGTCATGTCTTCTCCACGCTGCAAAGACCGCCCGGTTCCTCTGGGTTGACGATGTTTATATTACCGGTGTCTTAGCCCAACCCGCCGGTGTCGGACGCTCTATGAAACATAACAAATACTTCAGATTAGAGGGCATCGACGAGGAGGAGTTGGGGGACAAAATATTTTGGTTTGAACCCAACAAACCTAGAATGACGTGGTGGTTGAAACTCCTCAGCCATTACAAGTATTTCTCTCCTGTGTTTCCTTCGTAACTCAGTTCTGTCAGGAAAATCCAGGTGAAATGTCCTTCATATCAATGCATGCCTTATCATAGGAGTTTTTATCAACGTTAATTCAATGCAATCCTTAAATCATAAAATAGTGCTACCACAATCACAACAGCACGGTGCACACAACTGACTGGGTCTCCATCCCACCCTGAACTTTTTATCATTATTATTACAATACAAATATTATGAAACTTATAACTTTAATTAACAAGGACCCGTCATTAATCTTGCACTATTTGGAAACTTACTGAACTATCACTCCAACTATCATTTCATGGGGGAGGGGGCAGAGTCTTGACACCCGACTCTTCTGGATCCCCGGCTACGCGAAGGCCTGGATACAAATTTTGTATCGTGACTGTACAGTACAGGTAAATATAAAACCCCTTAAAAATGCACTCCATTTGTTATAGGGAAGCGGCAAAACACAAGAATATTCCAGGCCAAGAAACAGATCTTGGACATCTCAACTCGTTGAAGAATCTTTGTTTAATTCGTCTTCACATTTTCGTGTTCGCCCGAGACTACCTACTGTATGTATGAAACTTGGTCATTTATAAATGGTCGAAGCTCTGGCAGTGTAGAAAATATCCCGAGACGTGGTTGTGATTATTTATGGCATTTGTGTGTATGTCACTTAAGTTTCGTGTGATATTAAATATATATCAATAATACAAGACTGAAATAATCACATAAAACTTTAAATCATGACAATAAAAAAAACTTTGCAAGCGACCTCCCCTTCCCTTTTTCTCCTCCCTCTCCCTCACACTCACTCACGGACTCCTGTCCCCTCTCTACTTCTGCTAGACCCAGATTCTCAAAGGTTTGTGCTGTACTCAGCGTATTCACCTACTAGAAATATGAGATTGTACAATCACAAACAAAAGTTCCCTCCCCCTTCGTGGTGAGTAACAGGAGTAAGTACCGACTCACTTTTACCTGGCTGTCGTCTGATGCGGGTGTGATAGGAAACCCATAGATGGCTCTGACACTATCGGCGTTCCTGACTTGTGACATAGAAAGTTTGGTATTTGACTAAGCTTTGAAACACAATCTACTCAATATTGATATGTTAAAAAAATCCACTATGGAAATACAAAGAATCGATTGTGTTTCTTATAATGCATTGTAAATTATGAGTGACAATTTTAACTGTTACCCTCCGCAAATTCAACAGCTACTTTTTGGAGGGTTGTGTTTCTTAAGAGTTTAGTATTCGAACATCTCAAGTTTCTTGTTGCAATGGGATTTTTAGTGGTACAAGTGGCACAAGTATTTTTCTTACATTTACTGGCAGACTACCCTGCTATGGAGATGGGATGCGGACAAATTCCCTCGAGGATAAAAAAAAAATGAACAAAAGCTCCCAAGAACAAAACCCCCTCAGTTAAAGTGCAAAGTAGGATAAAACCCCTTCAGTTACATTGCAAAATTGGTTAAGTTAGGTTAGGTTAGATTGGGTTGGGTAAGATTATGTTAGGTTAGGTTAAGTTAGGTTAGGTATTGCAGGTTTATGATATAATAAATGTAATATATTACATCCCACAGAAGTGTTCACAAACATGTCATTAAAAACGGGAGTGGTATACCAGAATCCTGGAGGATAGCGAATGTGATACCGATTTTCAAGAAGGGAAATAGATCAGTATCCTCTAACTACCGTCCAATTACTTTAACATCAATTGTAGGGAAATTGCTGGAAGCAATAATTTGAAACTCAATTCGAAATCACCTCCAGAAACACAAATTGAGCATTGATTGCATTAGACTCGCAAGTGGGCGCTCATGTCTGACAAATCTATTACGATTATGATTTGGTTTATCTCGACTTGAGCAAAGCCTTCGAGAGGGTCCCCCCATGAAAGACTAATGCATAAAGTGGAGGCACAGGGAATTGGAAATGTTCTTAATGGGAATAGGGCATGGTTAAATGACACGAAACAGAGTCCTAGGGAATGTTAGATGGAAATGAGTGGTGCTTATGCTGAGCTCCCAATTAGGTAGGAAGTGCATTTATATTATGTCTTGTATCTTTTATATGTAAATATATGTAAATAGGGTAGACTTACCTCGGTGTTTCTGATGGTACTTTGTCGCCCAGGATTTTATTCTTCAGCTGCAACTGAGTCTTTGGGAACTCCGAAAGAGTATTTCGTGAAGCCTACCCTACTTAAAGCTTGCCTTAGCAGTATATCACTGTTGTCCAGCTCTGTGTCTTTTGGGGTAAGCGTGGGCGAGACACAGAGCTGTGATAATAGAAGCATGAAACTTTCTTTATTTATTGTCAAAGAATATGTGCTGCCTAGCAACCATGCCAGTCAATGGATTGATAAAATATAAACAAGGAATCCGGGAATTGGCTGTATTTTCACGTTAGCAGAACAATATTTCATATATTGTTTTCAACACTGCTTATTCATTCATAATGATCCATATGTACCTTTCCCAGTGAAATTTTAAAGCAATAAAATCAGGAATGTCCCCAGCACTGTCTGCTGGAGGAACGTACAAAAGTGTCTCGAAAAGGAAACATCAGTTACAAATGATGCACCAGATATTGATGGGACAGCTTTAGTTCACATGTTATCACCAGGACGTAGGACTAACTGTAAGACATCTGGTCAATATGCTATTTTTATTTATTTTTAATGGGGAATAGCCCATCCGGGTACAGGTCATCAACCCACAACGGGGCCTGGGGGGCGAAAAAATAAGAGTAAACATAAATTAAAAATAGAGGAGAAAAAGACGATTAATCTACACCACGAAGATACCGGAAAACCAGCTTTTTGAAGTGAGACAGATTGTAAGAGTATGAAAACACAGAAGGAAGCAGAGCATTCCACAGTTTGGCTGTGTGAGGAAAGAAGGATGTACTATGATGGGTTATTCTAGTGTGACCGACATCCTTTGAGAAAGGCTGGGCACCACTGGCAGGACGAGTGTTACGAGCCCACGGCCTTGTCGGCGGTACACAGGATGCCAAATCCACTGAATATTTCCCGTTAAAGTACCTGTAAAAGAGAGAAAGTGAAACAACATATTGCCGAAGAGAAAGGGAAGAGAGATTATCAAATAAGGAGGAGAGTTATTAAGACCAAATGCCTTTGGTTCCACCCTATCTAACACTTGGACAGAAGAGCCATCCCAGATATGAGAGCAGTACTCCAAGTTAGGACGAATGAATCCCTTATAAACTTGAAGCAACTGCTCAGGAGTGAAGTAGCTACGACATCTGTACAGCATTCCCAGCTTTAGGGAGGCAGCTTTAGCAATGTTGTGGATGTGTGGCTTCCATGACATATTAGAAGAAATGTTGAGGCCTAGCATATCTATTTAAGAATTTGACAGTATGATTGCATGTAACGGCACAATTTGTATTATATAAATATTTACCCAAATGTATATTATCCATATATTCACCAAGTCATTCATCCATGAGTCTGAATCAATTGGTGAGTTGATATTTCCTCTGGGGAGCAGGCGAGGTCAAGCTTGGTCAACACATTTCAACAACAACCTGACGCGCATCCTGTAAGTAACGCCGGACAACTCCCTCTCCTTGGTGAGAGAGAGAGAGACTATCATATCACCTGTTACCCAGTGAGCGTCTCACTTTAGTGTTCTCTTATACACGTGTACTAAGACATTCCCCTAATCAGAGAAGGTACAATATACTCTCAACTGAACTCAGTACCTGTGAAACTATATTTTTCTACAATAAAGCAAAACCAACAAAGTGTTTACTTCAGCCCTGCCACTTATCAAATCAAGAACTAATATATATATATATATATATATATATATATATATATATATATATATATATATATATATATATATATATATATATATATGTATGTATATATATATATATATATATATTTTTTTTTTTGTGACCAACACATGCGTCCTGAAATATGATTGATGGGAGATCTATTTTGGAAAGTGTAATTAGTAAATACTGTATTAAAATTGAATTTAACCAAGTTTATACCATCCCATTTGGATATACTGCACAGATCCGCATTAATAGACGAAACGATATCAGCTCTAGAAACAGATCTAGTTTGAGAGTTAGGTGGAAGGGAAAAATGTGAAGAAGAGGGAAGAATAGAATCATCAGCATAAGAATGGATAGAATCAGTCGGCGTGTGAAGTAAATCATTGATAAAAAGAAGGAAGAGAGTAGGTGAAAAAACAGAACCCTGTGGAATACCACTATTGGTAGAGAAAGAGCGAGAGTTTGATCTCTCGACAACAACTGCCATGGATCGGTTCTCAAGGAAACTAGAAATTAGAGAACAAAGTGGGGAAGAGAAACCAAAAGAGGAAAGTTTAGAAAGCAAAGACTTGTGCCATACCCTGTCAAATGTTTTGGAGATGTCGAGGGCCACAACGAGAGTTTCCCCATAATTCGTAAGAGAGGATGACCAAAGATGGGTGCAATAGGAGAGCAGATCACCAGTATATCTCGCCTGGCGAAAACCATAGTGGTGATGCGACAAAAGAGAAAGGCGTTCAAGGTGACGGAGAAAATGGGAGTTAAGAGGGTTTCTAAAATCTTAAAGAGGGATGAAGTTAGGGCAATGGGGCGATAGTTAGAGGGCTGAACCGAGGCATGCTTCCAAGAATAAGGAAAAGTTTGGGTTTTGAGGCAAAGGCTAAAGAGGGAAGCAGGCACGGGAGCCATAATTTCCGTCTGGTCCATGCGTCTTACATCCAAATTGGATAACACAGCTATCAAACAGGGAGGTACTACCGCCTGGGAAGATATTGGAAGCATAATGTGCTGTCTAGGTGTAGACCCTGCTGCCATACGTCATCACGAAAATTTTGACCAAGTCCCAGGTTGCTGAGCTGACATTCTGCCTCATTTACACACACTTGTAGGGTGGGTCCCAATTGTTTCTCTTACTTTGACAGCACAACATACATATATCGTTTCTCACTCTTGATCTTTTTTTCTTTTCGTTTTTGTTTATTTATTATTATTATTATTATTATTATTATTATTATTATTATTATTATTATTATTATTATTATTATTATTATTATTATTATTATTATTATTATTATTATTATTATTATTATTATTATTATTATTATTATTATTATTATTATTATTATTATTATTATTATCGCCCCTTCCCCCCGCCAACCCAGTACCGATGTGGGAGGGTATAGGAAAGTGCATAGGTTCAGTCAGAGGAGTAGGAGTAGGAGGGGTGGAGTTTGGAATCGTCTAAGGTGGAGTTAGAGGAGAATAAGGTTCCAAAGAGATTGGCTTTATCAGGGGGAGAGTTGGCCTTTAGAGTTATCAGGTCGGGAAGGAGGAGGAAAAGAGGGAGTGTGGAAGTTATCACAGATGTTTTTGGTTAAGGACTAGAAGTATTTACTAGAAGAAGTGTTATAGTCAGGTTAGCGGTCTTTCTCTTGATAAAATTCCGCTTGGCCCTACGAAGAATAACCTTAAAACGATTCCTAGAAGTAATGAAAGAGGAGTGGGTAACAGGAGGAGATAGTTTCGTAACTTGATACACCCTATCTCTCTCCTTACATACAAGAGAACAGGATCGTTCAAACCATTATTGTAAAGTGAAAGTTTTGGTAGAAGATGGGCAAATGCACCCTTACCACCGAGTATAACCCCAGCAAAGCTGTCAGCACAAACCGAGGCGTCCTGAGTGGAAAAGCAACATTCATCCCAGGGAAAGCCGGAGAAAAATTATCTCAAGGATTACCAGAAGGGGGTCGGGGAGGTGGTCGTGCCCAGTTTGATTTAATAGAAATAAGATTATGATCAGAAGACCCTAAGGGGGCGGAAATTGAGTATGAATAGTGTGAGGGGTTAGAGGTAAAACAAAGATAAATAATGTTAGTAAGTTGATTGTGTCGATCTGGAACACTACTGAAGTAATTGTCTCATATATCAAAGCCAGGGTAGAAACTGTTGATGTTATATGGGACACATACCCAGAGAAGAGTCTGAAACAAAGTACAATTAAAAAAAAACACGGCATATGGAGTGTGTAAGCGGTTACTGACTAATGCCACACTTCCAGGAAACTAGCAAAGTTAATGAAATTCCTGTCATAATTTGTGACAGGTTGAGGCAGATGACAAAATACTCATTAGCACAGCATATGATAATGTTGTATCATTCGTACCTATTGACAAGACTGACATAGCACCCTGTACCCATGAGGAGGCAGATTTTTTTTTTTTTTTTTTTTAGGTTAAGGTGGGGAAAGGGTGGAAGGCATGCTGGGGCTCAAGGCACAGCCAGACATGAGGGATGGAGAAGTCACAACATATAGTCGTGGGGGAAAAGAAGTTTAATGATTTAAACAGAGGGGAACGACACCCCTTGTTTTACATATTACAGAGTTTGTTGCCTAACTAAGCTAACCTAGGATTTAGGATGAAGTTGCACAATGGTTACTTTGGTAGACAATGACTAGTTTGATTTTACAATTACATGTTTATTAAAATTTTATACTGTTCTACGTTGTGGACTTACTAGATTGTCACTTGTTAAATGTGAACTTATATCATCTAAGTTTTAATCTAAGGTGGATCACTGTGGCGGACATACTGTAGATTGATCGCGGGTTGAGTTGTTGTAATGCGGGCAGACTTCTTGGCCACCAGGCGTGGGGTCGCCTTCCGTTGATGTCTTCCCCACATAGGTGGTCTGGGCTGTGAGGGTCGTCCAGGAGCTTGTCCCTAACCTTCTTCCCTAGGCGATGGAACCTGACATTGAGGGCCTCTGTTTTATTTCTCAGGTGGATGGTTTCCACTGTCTCCTGGTAGGGTGACGCTTGGCCACTGGCTGACTTCAAACACTTGTTTTGGAAGCTCTGTAGTTGTTGTAGTCTGGTCTTCCCGAGTGTGACGAGTGGTATAGATGGGTACTCCAACACAGGCCTTACCAGCGTATTGTACAGGTGGACTTGTATCTTTTCAGGCATCAGTTTAAAACGATTAAATTTGACTGCAGCGTCTTTGGCTTTATTTAGACTGTCCTTCACGTGGGAAATGATGCCCGTCCGAGAGATGATGAGGCCGAGCAACCTGCCTTGTTTAGAGTACTCAATCTCTTTGTCGTCGATCATCAATGGCGCTGGCTTGAATTTGGCTATGGGTATGACCTTGAATTTCGTTTTGTTTGTTTTTATTTTCCATTTATTTTCATACTCCGAGATATTCTCTAATGCCCGAGTAGTGAGTCGCGCCATCCTTGCCGTGGACCTTCCTGGGCAGGTGACGATCTGTGTTACATCGTCGGCATACATGACGTACTCGCTGCCGGCTATTGGGGGTGGCAGGTCAGCCGTGTAGAGTGTGTAAATGGTTGGTGACAGAGAAGAGCCCTGAGGCACGCCGCTCGAGAGTAAAAATTCTTCTCCACAATGTTCTTGCATCTTGATTTTGCCTCTGCGGTTCGTAATGAAGTTGCACAGCAGGCGTGTCAGGTTTTTGGGAAGCCCCAGTTGTATGATCTTATACTGCAGCCCCGCGTGCCAAACTTTGTCAAACGCCTTGCTGGCGTCTCTCAGTACTACGTTTCACTGTAGGCGGCCAGTCATGGCGTTGGCGATCTGCTCGTAGGCCTGGGCTATGGCGGTGGATGTGCCTCGGGACTGGCGGAAACCGAACTGGCGGGGATTGTGCACGTCTTCGTCCTCTAAATACATCCGCAACCGCTTGCTTACTATTTTGTCAAGGATTTTGGCAGGTACCCCTAGCAGCGATATTGGTCGAAAGTCTTCGACTTTGTTTGAAGGCTTCCCTGCTTTTGGTATGAGGCGGATAACGGCGATTTTGAACATCTTAGGGAAGTATCCAGAGGCGAGGCAGGCATTGCATTTATGAGTAATCCTCTCTATTATGTTGTCGGGGAGTGCAGACTGAGTGAATGAAGGGTCACACTCTGGGACTTGAAGTTCTAGTGGTTACGTAGAGACAATCATCTCTCCAGTACTGGGTGTATGTGGTTCCGTTAGCCAAGGCCTGGTGTGAGGTCAACGACCCTATGGTTGATTGCACATGTGGGACGTAAGAGTTCCTCTTCAAGAATTGTTTGATGCTGTAGCACTTTAAAGTATGGGTGTATTCTGAATATATGTGTGAAGCATGTTACGGGTGTTGGTGGAGAAATGTGGTTCAACTAGCCAAGTCCAGGTGTGAGGTCAACGACCGTACGATTGATTGCACACGTGGGACGTAGGAGATCCTCTTCAAGAATTGTTTGATGCTGTAGCACTTTAAAGTACGGGAGTATTCTGAACATATTTGTTAAGCATGTTACGGATATTGGTGGAGAAATGCACTCATGACTCCTGAACCTAGAAAGAGTTATGAAAAAATGCGGAGCACCCGCCTGCCTGACGGGTCATGAGTGATTTTCTCGGTTTCTTGTTGTTGCCTGCCACTCGGCAGGTTAGTAGTTCCATCTTTTGGGTTTTGTGTATTTAGGATAATTAGGAGTAATAGTATTTTGTGGGTCATTCCAGACAGGCAATGATTGATCCATGTTCTTGTGTAGCATGACTAAATCAGGATTTCTATTCCTCAGGGATTTCCTCTGGCCAATAATAAATCCATGTTTCATGAACAACATTATTTCATATTTTGGTTTATTCTATGTGATTTAAAACAAATTCCATCTGTTAAATCCCTGTAATAAGGCATGCATTGATTTGTAGGACCTGGATTTTCCCGACAGAACTGAGTTACGAAGGAAACACAGTGAAGAAATGCTTGTAATGGGTAAGGAGTTTCAACCACCACGTCATTCTAGGTTTGTTGGGTTCAAACCAAAATATTTTGTCCCCTAACTCCTCCTCGTCGATGCCCTCTAATCTGAAGTATTTGTTATGTTTCATAGAGCGTCCGACACCGGCGGGTTGGGCTAAGACACCGGTAATATAAACATCGTCGACCCAGAGGAACCGGGCGGTCTTTGCAGCGTGGAGAAGACGTGACCCAAGATGTGTAGCAATAACCCACGCCCCTCCAGCACAGTAGGAAGGGTAGTTGAGATCGGGAAATTCCTCAGACCGCACGCACCATCGACCATCCCGTCTGATTTTTGAACTTTTCCAGTTGTAACAGATGAAACTGTCTGTGGTGGCGTTGTGTTTGAGAAATTTATTGAGGAAGAAAGTGTCGATAAGGATGTCGTCATCAGCGTGGAGAGTCCAGGGGACGTGTGGACAATGTTTCAACACCCACTGTAGCGACGCTAACGCCTTGTGGCTCAGCAGGTGGTATGCGTCCGTGTAGTTTCCCTGAACAAAAAAGAAAACACATAATAAGAGCCTTTTAGGTGATTGTTACCACATGATCAGAGCTTAGAAAACTGGGAAAATACTTATCGTGTGGACTATAGAGCTGTCTCCTTAGCCAAGGAATAAATTAATCATCTACTTGCTTTATTTCACAATTTGACGAAGATCCCATAAACTAACTACACAAAAAGTATTATAATAAAATTAGTGGGCGTTCAGTGGAGATACAGTCTACAGAGTGTAAACCTACATAATTCTGATATATTAAACGTTTATGTTTTTGTGATTTTGTCGTTTGACCTCATGCCCTAAGTATGTGTGGAACCTACGATAAAGAACCAGGGAATTAAGTAATTACTTCTCAGGTCATCTGCTTACTTTATTTACAGACAGACAATTCAACTACCATCCAGACGCAGCTAAACACGTTACCCACCTGCACGATGTCGCCGAATCGTCTGCTCTCGTCTCTGATTATTTTGCTTTCATAACTGTTTTTGGCTTGACCCACCATAAACACAACGCCCATCTTCACACCCTCGTCATGAACACCCACAGACGCCCACGTAGTTCGGGTTTCCATTCTCTTCATCACGGAACTGATGGAGGAGTGGACGTACGCCACAATGGTCAGGTTAGGACGCTTTCGGCAGAAGTCTGGCTCCTCGATTAAGAACTGAGGCTGAGAGTCAGCGGACCTGAAGTCCAGTGCGTTGTGGGCTGACGGTGGGACCTTTAACAGAAAATTATGATAATTTGAAACGTGGAAATGAAATAGAAATAACTTCTTATTATCCATCATTCAACATTTTTTCCGAAGAAGCTTCCTTGAACACACACACAGTATATATACCCACTCAACAGCACAGGCACATACTAATCGAACAGGTACAGTACTTACGTCACTGCAAGTTGTGTCATGATGCCGAGTGACAAGAAGAGTGAAAGACGAAGGCAGAAGATTGAGGTGGAGAGAGACAGCCAGTAGGACGAGCAGTACCACACACGGTAGAAGCAACACAACTCTCCTGCATGTCACACAACCTGCCGGCATACATCATAAGTTATTCAGGATAAACACCTTTCATATTGTCACACATGACTTGATATTAAGGGGAACACTAAAACGAAATAATCTTTATTTTTTGAAGAATTTTTCATATTTTTCTGTATGTAATTTAGACTTGAATTGTGATGTTTATGTCGAAGCTTAAGTGAAATTATCCTAATAGTTTTGTGGAATTTTTTATAAATTTTTTTAATGGATATTCCACCATTCCCGCATGGTGTATGAAATTTTCCTTTTAATACGAGTTTATACATTATATGATGTATAAATATAGGGCCAGTGAAAACTCTATGAAAATTAGTTTGTGAAATATTTATTTCATTACGCATCCAGTTTTGGAAGAATTTGATATTTACATTTGCTCTGTGTAAAATATATGATGAATAGTGAAGTGCATCAGGGTAAGTAGAGATAGACCTCCTCCTAAGAGGCTTTATTCAGCAAAGAAGTTTGGCACACAGATCTGTAACAAAAAAATAATTAGCCACATAATGCCTTAGCACATTCTCCTGAGCACACACACACACACACTCATGTGAGGAAGAAGCTTCGGGAGATGACATAAGACATGCAATGACAATGAAACTTAATAAGAGATTGAATGATTGTGCGAAGACACTTGGCGATGGAAAACTCCTTGCCAAACTAAGTGCAGGAGATGTTGTGGCACAAGAACTGAAGTATCACCCTCGCTGCCTGGCAGACCTGTACAACCGAGAAAGAACACACCGAAATGCGCATGAGCAAGAAGAAGCACAAGAGCTTCATCCGAACAAGGACGCATACCCAACTGCTTTCTCTGAACTGGTCAATTACATCACTCAGATGAAAGTTTCTAGTGAAGGTACTGAACCACCCCTTTTCAGACTTGCTGATCTGGTCACACTATGCAGACAGAGACTTGAGCAGCTGGGTGTTGGATCGCCTGATTTTCATGCTACTCGACTGAAGGACCAGCTGCTTTTTCACATGCCCAGCTGCAAGCTCATCACCAAAGAAGAGATATCCTACTGGTCTTTGAGAAGAATGTTGGCTCAATCCTGGCACAAGCAAGCAAATACGGTGACGCGATCCATTTGGCCAAGGCTGCTGGGATGATACGACGGGACATGCTTCAGCACAAGTCACACTTCAGCAGTACATTTCATGAAGTTTGCATTGAACAGGCTCTTCCACCATCACTGCTTCAATTTATATGCATGATCGAACATGGAGCAGATATCAAATCCCAACTCCAGCATGGCGCATCGAAGTCTGACCTTGCTATGTCACAGCTCTTACAGTACAACTGCTTTGCCAACTACAAGGTAGGAACACAAATCCACAGACACTCCATGGATCCATGAGACACCTTTTGCTATCTACGTCGGCATGTCTGTGTTTGCTAAGACAAGACAGAGGCAGCTCATCGACATGCTGCATGAAAATGGGGTCATCATTTCATATGACAGATTTCTACAATTATCAGCCCAGCTAGGAGAAGCACTTGTGTGCCAGTACGTGGAAGATGGAGTGGTGTGTCCACCAATCTTGAGGAAGCAGTTGTTCACGACTTCAGCAGTGGACAGCATTGACCACAACCCCACTGCGACTACGGCCAAAACGTCCTTCCATGGGACCAATGTGTCCATCTTCCAACATCCAAGCCCTGAGCAGGCTGGTGAGGAGCGTCAGCCACTCAGACGGAATGCAGATACGATGGTCAAGAAAGTTCCTGAGCTTCCAGAGGCATTCACCAATGTCCGACCAGCCGTTCTGTCAATTGGGGATGGATGGACGCAGAAGGAAGAGGCATGGCAGAGACGTTGGACGACTCTTCCCCCGATTGCGACATTCTGTTAGGAGCTGACCACATGTTCCTGTAAGAAAGATTGCAACCAAAGATGCAAATGCTTTCGCTCTGGACTTTCCTGCACAGCACTTTGCAGCTGCATATATGAACAGCACTGAATGCACAAAGATGTACTGTCAGGAGAAGCCACAGGAACCAGTGCTAATAGTGAGTACTTTTTTTTTAGTAAGTTCTTTTTTGTTATATTTTTTTACTAAAAGTGTTATTTTATGTGGATAAAATGTTACAATGGACTTAAAAGTATAAAAAATCATCTGGGCATGCTTGAAAACATACATATCGACACCAAGATCACTCAGATTGACCAACTACATCAATTTCTATAAGAAAAATCAACTTTTGAAGGTCAATATGGCGGTCATCTTGAAAAATGACCGCTATCTTAGATTTTCAAATGGCTAATCAGGCAGACTTGACTAGTAACCATTAGAGAATTACCATGCCAAATTTGGTGCTTGTATCACCATTTGCATGATTCTTTGAAAAATTGCATTTAGCTGCCCCACTACTTACTTTTATTTCCTGATTATCAAGTATTGTGTCCATGAGAAGCGTGTAACTCTTCCTCAAAGACAACAATTCAACACAGTTTTCTTTCTTACTTTTATAAATATGGAGTGTGAAGGGTGCTACAAGCCTGTACATCTGTGAGAGGTGCTCCTGCGCGAGTCACTAACGTTACACACACTGAGCAGCACTGGCAAGTGACATGTGTACCAAGCCCCATCCCTCCTTATCCGGGGTTCGTCATATCCTGTCTTTAGCAAAAACAAATGGTTACATATATGAATTGTTTGTGTAAAGTTACGACAGGGTTACTTTACTAAACACTTGAGATCTGATGTGATTGTTAGTAGCATATTATTGTTGGTTGGACTTGTCCACCTATGCGAGTTTTTACAGGATAAGAATTTTATGTAAGATTTGATTCTGCTGTTCAAAGTATTTTTTGTTCTCTATCACACACACACACACTGTTAAAAAGGGTGGGCAGCTTGTAGCCTAGTCTCTCCATGGCCAAAATTAAGCGCACATACATAAAATAATAATAATAAAAAAAATTCAGCTCTGTGTTGAAAACTGTGGTGGTGAGATTCAAGACAGTGACAGTACAAATATATAAGGAGAAAGAACTGTCCCGATTCGAGACAGTTCTTCCTTGTTATCTATTCGAAACTCTGGAATACGATCCATAGTTTGTCATATATTTGTTATCACCATAGGCGGTTATCTCATCCTGTTTACATTACTGATTTAATGTGTTTTTTTTTCCAGATAATTTTTCAGTATTTTTTTATTTCTTGATAATATTCAAACATTAATTTTAACACGATAATCATATTAAAAGTACTTATAAAATCAATGTCCGTGTTTTACTGTAGTCTGCTGCCCAAGACGAAAGATGGTATAGTGTTTTGTATTTAGTGCCTCCTAATTTAGACAATGGGGCCTCCCCTAATTTCAATGTTCGTGAGCATCCTCGGGGCTTTAGTGAGGCAAATAATATTTCAGCTCTCTATCATAAAAAACGCAACCGCGGTCATGCACCTCAAGGAACAGAAAACTAAATCCTTTTTATGAGGGAGGGGGGCCTACCACTGGGAGCCAATATCCCAAAATTCTACCCTCTTGTTACTTCTGGGGCGCATGCAAATTTTCATGCCAAACTTCACCTCTCTAGTTTAAAAAGTGTGAAAGTGTGTGTGTATAATAATAATAATAATAATAATAATTAACGGTTTATTGAAAGAGCATGACAGCCGGAAGGCTGAAAATATACAGTTACATAATTGGGGAATGGGTCTCTTGATTTACAAATAATATGCAAGTAACATAAGTGATAAAAATATGATATATAATAACTAGGTGAGGGAGAAGCTCAAACTACAGGGCATTTCAACATAGTGATAGTGCAAAAAATAAGATTGAATGGGAGTGAATACACTGGTTGATTACAAGTAATTGATAATTTTTACAATGGTTGGGATTGGGCTGTTCTTATAGCGATCAGTTCGTGCTCGTAAGGGCTGGATGCGGTTGTGGTGTGGAACAGCAATTCTCGGGCGAGGGATCTCGGGTGGTAGTAGGAGCCGGTGTCGAGGATGGTGTAGAAGCTTCTCACCAAATTTGCAGTTGAGGTCGTGGTGATGGTCAGTGAGAGCCGAGAGGGTCAGTGTGTTGAGCGCTTCTTGATATGTGGAGTAGGAAGGGGAGAGAATAATCTTGGATGCCCTCTTTTGCACTTTTTCTAGGTGTTTACGTTGTGTGGCATTCAGGGAGGAAGACCAGGTAGGGAAGGCATAGGTGAGCTTGGGAAGTATGAATGTTGAGTAAACACTGAGGAGCTCGGGGACAGGAACTCAGAGGGACCTGAGTCGGCGGAGGAGGTGGAGACGGAACTGGAGGATTTGGCAACTTCACTGACGTGTAGTTTCCAATTTAGTTTGTTGTCTATGGTGACACTAAGGAGCTTAGTGAAATATACAACCTGGAGTGTGTTGGGACCTAAAGTAATGGGGGGGGGGGGTCGAACAACTTCAGAGGAGAGGTTGATGTGCATAACCATGGTCTTTGTATGGTTGATGGTAACGTGGTTGTTGGTGGCCTAGTTTTGGAAACTGTTCAATAAATCCTGAAGGGCGGCATAGTCGGGAGCAGAATTGTTGACGCTGGTCCCAATGGTGGAGTCGTCGACATATTTCCAGCGAGCAGGGGTTTCTCTTAAGGCATCATTGATAAGCATAAGGAAGCATAGTGGTCCCATTTTGGTGCCTTGGGGGACACCACAGGTGAGTGACTGAAAGGTGGAGACAGCCCCTCGGAAGCATATAGCTTGGCGTCGGTTACTGAGGAAGTCTGTAAGCCACGGTATAATACTTCTTTGAAACCCGAGGTCGATAGCTTTGTTGATGATTAAATTGTGGTCGACTAGGTCCAATGCCTTAGTGAAGTCAATGAAGTCGACAGCTACAGATGTTTTCGTTTCTTCAGATGGCGGTATATGTAGTCGAGAAAGCTGACAAGACAGTGAGTGGTGGAGGAAGTTTTTATATTACCAAATTGCTGAGGATCTACGACTCCTGCAATATCAGCATAAGCAGTCAAACACAAAACTTTCACAGATTAAACTGGGTATTGGGGTGATTGTAATGGGTCGTAGCTGATTTAAGGATTATGGGCGGGTTGACTTGGGCACTGGTGACACATAAGAAGTCTTCAAGTCAGCTCGGCATTGAATGATATATATGGACACAAAGTAGTACCTTCAGCTGTATATTATTATATTACTCTTATATTACTCCATTAATTATGTATAGTAAAGTATTACAGAACATGTATTAATTCTATGTAATATTCCATTTATTGTGCACCATGTTATGTATATAAATTATCATATTTATACTTTATGTATTCAGCTTGTGAATGCTGGCATCTGTACATCCCAGCGCGCAGTAATACATAGATAGATGTGGAGAGGGAAGACAGAGTCGTCGTGGTGTGAACGCGAGCTTCTGCGTCCTACTGTATATATATATATCTCCCGTACGAGAATAGAACCTACTTTTAAGACAACAAATGTTTGTGTATACCCTCAGTAGTATAGAACATTTTGTGGGTATTCGTGACATACGTCAGATGGCGCAGTGATTATTTCTCAGTGAGATACAGTGGACCAAGCCTTTCTGCCCGGACTCTGTTAATGGCGTCTCCTCTTAAGCTTCATCCACGGCAAGACCACTACAAGCCTCTAGACTTACAGTGTTGTGAAGTGCTATGCTGTGTACAGTGCTGTGTTGTGAAGTGAAGTGTTTTGTGAAGTGCTGTGTTGTGTATTTTAATCATAATTGTCTGTGCAAGTTGGGGTCAGATGACTAATGGAGCGGCCCGACAGTACGTGCTCTCCCGTCTCTGGTCTGAGGGTGACTGAGGAACCAGCTGTTGCTGCTGCCCACCCGCTCCTACGTCTGGCAGCGCGCCAAATCTCTCCCCTCCCGCCAAGCACACACACACACACGCATTCACCTTCTATTTTCTTGTGACTTACTTCAGACTTCTGTAATTCTGTGCATAGATTACGAGGGGCTGACCCGGTCTTTTGCACAGGTAGAGTACAGAAGCTGTCGGCATGTCTCACAGGGATCAAAATGATACCCTGGACGATGGGGTTATGAGTTTTAGTGTGGGAGACCTCTCCCCACCCACGCTTACGCCCCACGCTTACGCCCCACGCTCCCCACAGTGACAACGCCGAGTCACCCACAGAATCTCCTAGCTCGTCGCGAGCCAGCTCTCCTGCGATGCATGCATCCACAGATCTCCGTCAACTGATAAAGTGGATGGAAACTTCTCGACGCCAGGACGATATTGCAAGGAGAGACGAGGAAAAAATTCGGTACAAAGAGTCTGAAAGACGACGCCACAAAGAGGAACAAACACGCAGAGAACTCGAAGACATACGTAGACGTGAGGATGACCTTAGAAGAAAGGAAGATCAAGCCAGATTTGAAGTTTTGATTTCTCTGTTAGCCTCCCCGCAACGATCTACCGTACAAGATTCGTCTGCTACTACTAATGTTGATGCGACTAGAGGTACTGGTACCTCATTTCCCAGAATCGGATCAACAACACCTCAAAAGGCTGCTGTACAGACGCCTCCCTCTCTGATGTCTGACGCTTCTTATCAGATGTTTCGGGAACGGCGTCGACGTTGGCAAGACTACGCAACAATGGTTGACTTGTCAAGCTTATCACAGCCGAAACAAATGATACAGCTTCATATGTGCTTGTCCTTAGAGACACAACGTACTCTCGAGCACACACTTCAAGTGCCTCCTACGACAACTCTGACAGTAGAGGCCGTGCTCGACAAGTTGCAGGAACACGTTAAGGGACAGTGCAACGAAGAACTCAGGAGAACAGAACTCCTCCAATGTAAACAGCTTGATGGAGAATCTTTTGACTCATTTTTTGTAAGGCTCAAAAGGTGTTCAGAGGAAGTTGATGTTTGTCCCGGACATTCTCAAGTCTGTGAAGAGACACAACTTAAGACAATTATTTTAACGGGTGTCCGAGATGAAGAGCTAGTTCAGCGTCTCATTTCCCTCGACCCCACTTCCTCCCTTCAAGATGTTGTTACAAAATGTCGAGCGTACGAGGCCGCCAGGTGTGCGACTTCAGCTTTACGCTCACAGCCTGACCAGGTGAGGGTAGTGTCTTCCTACAGAAAGGGTAAGAAGCAGCAAGGTAACCCCACCCCTCACCCACCAGCTACACCTTCAGCAGCAGCTTTGTGTAACAGCTGTGCGAGACAGCATAATGCCTCCCAGTGCCCAGCTGCTCAAAGCGTGTGCAGAAGTTGCGACCGCCAGGGTCACTGGGCTTACACAGTCAAGTGCCCTGCTAGCAAAGTTCAGTGCAGACTTTGTGGTCGTGTGGGCCATTATGACAAATGTTGTAAGAAGACACATAAAGGACACCACCTAGGATCCAAGAAGTCATCCTCAGGTAGTGCTGGCGCGCCCCCTCCTTCTGGCAAGCATCAAGACGCTGTGTCCAGTCGTTCCTGCCGTCGTGTACATAGTTCCACAGACACGACGCCCCAGCACATCAATGTCGTCATTTCTTACGGTAACTCGTCATCCAGTCTTCAGATGTTACCTGACACCGGTGCTGACGTCTCAGTAAT